GCAACCGCCCTTTGAGGTAGGTGCTATTTCTGTGTCCATTTTTGACAAAGGCAACCCTGAGACACAGAGAGATTTAGTAACTTGCCCATGGCGTGGGAGTTGTGAACCCAAAGGCAGAATCCTACATTTTGGTTCAGGAGCCCTCATCCTTCATGACTTCATTCATTTGCTGTATCTGTAAAACGGAGCTGAGGTGAGCGGCTTGGGTGGATTGTGAGACTCTAATACGATGTTGTTGCTGCTGTCGCTGCTGTTAGGAGCCATCAAATCGGTTCTGACGCATAGAGACCCTGTGAACTAACATAACAAGACGCTGCTTGGTCCAGGCGATGGAAATCCCTACAGTGAGGCCAAGGCTCAATTAATAGTTACTGCTCGTGTTATTTTGTTATGAATGAGATTAGTTGTCCTGAAGATTCTTAAAAAAACAAATGCCACACCCTTCTTGAAAGCTCTTCGACACTGCTCGCACCTATGGTGAGAAGGTGGGGCGTGGGCTGACATCTCGGAGTTGCTGATTGTCAGTCCCGTCTTTCTTCCCCAGCGCTGGCATCATGGTCCAGACAGCCCAATGCGCCAACGCCTCCACATCGACTTTGATGTCTCCAAGCTTTTGCTTGGCTCTTCTTCCTGCCTGGAATGTCTTCTGACTTCTCCTCGATGTCAACATCCCACTGCGGTTCGAGGACTCTGAGCCCCAGAGGACGTTGCTGGACCCCAGAAGATCACTAACCTTTGCTTCTGTTTGTCATTGGTGTCAGGTGGTTTTACATAGATTTTCTACTCTGACAATTTCGTCATGAAGAGGAAACTGGGGTTCCTAATGGCAACTTAACCAAAGCCACACTTAGGAACCAGCAGAGACAGAGCTCAAACCCAGATCCGTCGGGTTTGAGCCGAAGCCCCGTGTTGATTCCACAATAGCACCTGCCTCTTCGCTAGTATGAAGCCCACTGCCGCTGAGTCAATTGTGACTCACAGTGATTCTCCAGGGCAGAGGACTGCTCCCGAGGGCTTCCAAGGCTGTGAGTCTTGACGAAAGCAGACTGACTCATCTAGCTCCCCCGGAGTGCTTGCTATGGTCCCACCAACCTTTCGGATAGCAGCTCAGCGCTTAACCTGGGACACCACCAGAGCTCCTTACCAGTTCTGCATGGTATGTCAAGCCGGCCAGAGCTGTGTTTGAATGCCAGCTCAGTGTGAGCAGCCACAAATTCCCTGAGCAACTCTCCAGCCCCCAGAGCCTCAAAATAGGAACTAAATTAGGGTTACTATGAAGATTCAATGCCAGACTTCATGGACAATACAGTGCTGTTTGTGATGCCGACGCCATTCTGCCTGGCAACAGAGATAAGTTTAGATGTGTCGATTTCTCCCACTCTGCAACAGATCCCAACAACAGGAATTGAATCTTGTTCCTCCCAGCAGTGTCCGGCACCCACGACAGCCCCCAGCACATGATGAGTGCTCGCCTGCGCTGACTCAGCCCTGCACAGCCTTTACCCCCAGCTCCATGAGCAAACTCTGCGTCCAGCTAGCAGTAGAGAGTGAAAGAATATACCTTGGCCAACCAGTCACACTCGTGTCCAAGGTGTATGTCATTGGGGCAGCACTGCTGGCCAGACATCCCAGGCAAAGCTGGAGAAAGATGAGACCATAGCCAGGCCTTCTAGAATCTGAGGGGGAGGAGACGTATGTAGACGCAGAAGTGGGGTTCTGGGTGATGTAACTGGGTAGATGTTCCTAACTCACAGACTTTACCCAAAGACGTCCTTGGTACCCTTTAATGGGAAAAAACAAGCTTTTCCATTACTAAAGCAAGACGTGGGAAGGGAAAACCAAATCAAGCTCGCTGCCATGGGGTCGATGTCAACTCATCGTGAGCCTGGAGGACACGGTGGAACTGCCCCTGTGGGTGTCCGAGGCTGTCACTCTTTAAGGGAGTAGAAAGCCCTGCCCTTCGCCCTCAAGAAGAAGGGGGAGGGTACTGCATCTTACGCTTGACCTTACACCTGTTCCTGGACAGCACTTTGGGTTCCGCTGATTATTATACCACTTGGATGACTTGGGGAAAACACTGAATGCAGATTCAGGAGACTTCGATCAGATGACGGTTTCAGATGGCACTTGTCGGGGGCTCATGGGTCCTCTCGGCTCCTCAGTCTTCTCATCTATAAACCCTGGGGACACTCGCTCCCTTTCTGGATTTG